CTTCCATGACTTCTTGGAATATCTTCAAATGGACTCCTCTACCACTCACAATACGCAAAACTCCCATAGTCATCTCCTCGTTGGTAAATTACCAACTAACAATTTCTGGTAAAGAGCCCCGGTAATGGTCGATGATCAGGGATGCTGCCGTTGCCGCCAAGGAATCTGAAATGGGTGAATGAGAATGTGGGTCGAAGACGTGACGCAATTTTGGCTAAGACCGTTGGGTCAGCGCGATGTCTGCTTTGAACCCTGTGACGAACGAACATTAGCATGACCACTGGTGCGTTGGTCGGACTCCTTCACGAAAGCATTGACTAAGGGTCGTGTGGTTTCGTGTCTCCAGTAAAGATAATATTGAATATATTGCTTTTGAAAGAATAAATTTCACACATTTTCAGGCGCTATCGCAATATGTGGGGCATTTTTTCTAAACTTGTGCATTCAAGCCATGATTACGTGCTTGATAAGACCTGGTACAGCTTAGAACGCCTTTGAACGTGTATATTCTGACCCATTACCAACGCTTTCATTCCTACGCATTCCGCTGGGCTTTTTTTATTCTGTGACATCTTATCCTTTCAGACGCTATCGTAAGATACGGCTTCATTCCCTAGCACTAAGCCCAGGAGATGGCAGAAACAACGAGGATATCACGCAATCTGGAGCCTTTTCTATTCCACCTGAGGCCTGGTCGTATTTTGGACACAAAGGAGCAGTTTTAAGCTGTTTGAACTGCATTGCAACCACAATGCTCCCCCTTCCCCAGATTTGCTATAGCGTCTTAAAAACATCTCTGTACTCTTTCCTTCCTTTAAAATTGAATGCCCCCGTATATTGTGGTAGAGTGATAGAGCCATTTTTCTCTACTTCAACATAGTTCTTCCACAACCACGACGCACACTATACCGCATAGGCCGATGTCATAGTTTGCGAATCGAGCGATTCGCTAGCGAATCGCTGGATCCGAGCGTTGCGCCAGCGAATCGAACGATGCACCAGCGAGTCGAACTAGGTACCAGCGACTCAATAGTGGCGGGACCCAACGTTCAAAGGAAGCCCGCCACTTTCAAACAGTGTCCACTGTCAAGTCCCGCCACTTTCAAACAGCGTCCACTGTCACGTGACACTGTTTGAAAGTGGCGGGCTTCCTTTGAAAGTTGGGTCCCGCCACTATTGAGTCGCTGGTACCTAGTTCGACTCGCTGGTACATCGTTCGACTCGCTGGCGCAAAGTTCGATTCGCTGGTGCAACGTTCGATTCGCTGGCGCAACGCTCGGATCGAGCGATTCGCTAGCGAATCGCTCGATTCGCAAACTATGACATCGGCCATACGCTACCCTCCCCCTCGCTCCCACTGCCGGCCTCTCCTCCCTGCAGTCCATACGCTTCCATTGCAATCTCAGAGCATTGATAGTGGGTGTATATGTGACCTGAATTTGCACCAAGAAAGAACGAATCAATTTCAGACCGAATGCCATAAAATTCATGAGTTATGAGTTGGACAATGAACCCAATACAGACTCGAACGTGCAATTGCGTATTACTTGAAGTTTATGCCAATACAATTGCGTGTCGTGAGAAAATCAATTATAGCATGGGAGTAGTTATCGGGGATTATATTATGCAAGATCGGAAAGAGTTTTATTTTGTATTGCGTAATAAGATGACGTCGCACCCGAGTGTACCAAATATAGACCCAACCACTTTAATTCTTACTAGGTACTTAGTTTCCTCGGAAAGCTTTTGACAAACAAGGGAAGGATACCAAGTCGAAGTGGCCATTCGTAATGAAACCTATACTCACCTACGTGTTTTCGGACGCTGATCTTCAAATCCGTCCTCCAAATTTGCGGAACGATTCTCTGAACAGAGTTACAAAGGTTTCAAATGAAAGCCCAGTTTAAGTGAGATCGTAGGCCAGGAGGGCCGGCGTGAGCGGCTTGGCCGAGGGGTATGCTTGCGTGTTGCGTTGGTGAGACCATAATTCGGATCTTGCCCAGAACGGAGTTTTTGCTCTTTATAGTTATGCTCGTGTTCAGTACGAAAACATTTCAGTGTTGAAATTAGGTACCCGACAGGAGGCCCGTCGCGCGGCAAGAAGGCAGAGTCAGCGGACGAGTTGCAGCGCGTGATGTGCGATGTAGGACGTGCAATGGGCATTCTATTCAACTTGACGCGAAATCACTACAGTACGCGCGCGACTCGTCCGCTGACCATCTGCGTCTCTGCCTTCTCGCCGCGCGACGGGCCTCCTGTCGGATACCCGGTGAAATTTGCACTGTGTACAACGCTGTCACGTGCTCAGAGGAGTTCCCAACAGGCAACTACTTTCTTCATGATGTAACATTTGTCGAAAATTTGTAGAAAGGGGTAGTTTAACGCGCTGAACGCGGACATCACCTCGATATTACACGAAAGTGCATATGGCGTGAGCTACCGGGTACCAAGGGCGATCATTTGCAGAATGGCG